GCCAGGGATGGAAAGGAGGTTCAAAGGTGTTTTGTGTTGACCTGGCTCTACCATCACTCTCCTCCAAAGGCTCAGAGGTAATCCAGCAAGCCACCCTCAAGAAAACCAGACATATAGAGATTCCTTTCACAAAAAGAAAAATTTCACAATAATGTTTTCCCTCTAGGAAAAAAAAATAAAAAGAACATATTTAATTGCAAAATTAGCCTAATTTTTTTTTCCCCTTTCAACAGTGCTGAAAACCTCAGTACTGTGGCCTTCAGGTACAGAAGCCCATCCATCAGGAACCAAGGAGCTGCAAGTGCTGAACAACTTGCAGAGGGGCTGGGAGCCTCACTGCAGCACAACCTAACAGAGCGTCACTGGTTTAATTGACTGATGATTTAATAAAATGCTCTGCATATTGATTAACTTGCTTTGCTTAATGTAGCTCAGCTTCCTGGCAGCAGGAACTGGCACCACACATTTCCTGGGCTGGGAGTTGGGTTGCCCAGGGGCTGCACCCACCTCTGCTCCAGCCCACCCCTCTGGCCACACTATTTCCCTTACCCAAATCTTTCCCGTTATCCTCCCAAAATAATGAAGTTTAACAAAAAGTTAAGATACAGGTAAGCAGATAGTACATACATGCATTAAAAAAATATCCTTAAGCCTTATCCATGCTATATCAAGTCCTTAACCCAGCTCTGCCAGCCCTGTCTTACTCCAGAGATTAATATGTAGTCAAATAACCTTAGTCTCAGCACTTCCTTCTTTTGAACTATTTCAATCTCATAACTGTCAAAAAAGATCATTTAATGGATTACTTAATTCCTACCCAAAGCCTGGAAAGAGATGAAGCAGTGTAGGGTTAATAAAAGTAGTGGTGTCCCCTACGCCTGGCAGAGGAAGACAGAGATCCCTCTCAAAAGTGCACATCTGGTTTTCCTGTTCCCATCTCTCCAGCTATCAGAAGATACAAAAAACAAACCTACACAACCCAAATCACAGCAGCTATCTCTCTACAGTCCATATGCCCAATTTCAAATAAAGTAAGATATTGTAAAAGTTGGAAAAACAGAGAGTAAAAGGATTATTAGCCAGCTCTAATTATACAAACTGATCTCATCCTCTTGTCATAAGCCTCTTTCCTGTTTCCGGAATCTATTTGTGCAACAGAAAGGCCAGCCTTTTGTAAATGTCCATGGCTCATCAACACAGAGTGATTAATTTCCCACTTTACAATACACACATACTGTCAACCAATTCACTTGTAATCTGATATAACCCTGACCTCACTTGTCAATTTTTTTCCTTTACCATATTACTAAAGGCAAACAATACTTAAGATACCTATTTGTAAAATCCAAACAACATTTCAAAAGGAGCTATCATGCTGGTCTAATAAAATAAAAATCACAGACCACATCTTCAGCTCAAGTAGCTACATCCTAATAAAGTTAAGACCTAACAGTCAGCTTGAATTAAAGAGCACCATGTACGCAAAAGCACACATATGTTTATACTCAAATTAAGTCCTCCAACAGGTTCTGGGGCAGCTGTTTCACGTATGCATAAGACTTTTATCTCAGGCTCAAATATTAACTCTCAGAAATCCTTAGCAGACATTCTAGCTGCCTCTTCAAATGAGCAAAATCCAGTTTATACCTTCTAATATACTTTGAAAACACATTTTGGCAGCAAACTGTGGGGAAGCTCTCAGTGACAACCAGCTCACGTTTGTAAGAGTGATCTTGACTTCGGGGGCTTAACCAGGAACTTCATGAAAATCCCCAGGTATCAGGCTGGGCAGCATCACACAAGTTACTAGTTACCTTTGAAAACAGAGATGCATAGTATGGGACCAGGTGACGAATGGTGGGGAAGGAAGAATAGGCTTTGGGGAGTGTTTCACCCCAGGTATAAAAGGATAAACATGATGGACAGCTGTCATCAGCAACAAAACGCCTACAGCCTTACACATGTAATGGGAGAGAGCAAAGCTGCCAACTATTGATTCCAACAAGCTCTTGACTATAGCATGTCTCCTAAAAACAGCTTTCTCCACCTTATTATTCTCTGACTCTCAAGGCTGTGCTGTTTTAGGAACTACACCGAGCAATGATGGCTTCAGTGAAAGAAATAATACCCCCAACCCTAGGGCTGAGCAATAAGGTTGTGTTTCTCTCTGTGCTCCCCAAACCACAGCACTTGTACTGCATTCCCAAAACCACAGGCTTGGAGTAGAAAAGAATCCATGACACCCAAAGCATCATGCATGTTTTTATGATGACAAATATTATTAAATATCTCCTAGCATTTACAAACCAGGTAGTTACCCAATAAGTGCATGCACCAACCTTAACTCTCCACAGCAGAGAGTTCTAGCCACAGATTTGGAAAAACTGGCATTGAGACCAAGATCCAAGAGATGTTTCCACTCATGTTTTGACCAAAGCAGCTTCAGTGCCCAACATTTTAATGTATTCTTCCTTTCTAAAGAATACATCCAATTCACTTTTCCCTTTAGGCTCCCTTTTGCAAATGCTCCCACTGTGGCTCCAGGCATCACAGACTTACTCAGGAAAAGCCTGGTTGGTACTTTTTTCCAGAAGAGGAAAACTTCACCAGAAACTTTGGGTTTCCTACAGGAGTACCTGTGCTAACCTCACTCCCTGTGGCACAGCACAACCACATCTGCCACTGCAAAATTACAAATTGTTGCTTCATAACTGTCCTCTCTTTTCAACTCAAAAACTATGGGAATACGTTCTTCCCTGAACAGATACTTCAGGTAGTGACAGAATATGCTCATTTTGCTGCACAACCTTTCTGAAGCACAACAGCCTCAAAAACACACATCATTCACCTAATGAGTGCAATGACGGAGTTATTTGGTGTGGTATTCCCAGAGAGGAAAAATGAGAGCTGTAACTCTCTTCCCAGAACACTGTATTACACAGTGCATCCAGGGAATGCCCTACAGAAAGTAAAACCCCAGGCAACAAAATGCATTACTTCCCCAGATCAGAAAAGGGAGAACACTCGTTCAAATCCAATTTTTAAATAAATTAAAGCATCAAACAATAAAAATCTAAATAACCACAGTTTGTACCCAGTTCCACTACCCCACCTTCTACGTTTGAGCCTTTCTACAACTCACTCATACTCAAAAAACCAAACTTTGCAGACACCTCACTTCGCAACTGAAATAATTTCTTTCCGCTGCCTTTACAGAGTGGCCTTTCACACTGGTCCCCCAGGAATGGAATGGGTTAAGTGCCCACAGGTCCCAGCCTTTCCATTAAGTCATTTATTACCCCAGCTCGGGGACAAGGAGCTCTGCAGAAGGGAGAGCCCACGCTGTGCAGCTGTTCGCCAGCCAGGCACCTCTCCACAATTATAACACAGGATTAAGTTCAGGGAGTGGAAATCTGTTCCTTCATTGTTGATGGCTTTTTTCTTTTTTTTCAAGTTATGCAGCTATTTTAAATGTTACAGACCTCATTAACATGAAGTTCATTAAGCAGTAACCACTTTATGAATGAAATGAAAAGATTATCATTATAGGCCCAATTATGGAAATACTAGACCAGCAGGCAGGAAAAGGAAAGGGTATGAGAATGCTGCTCCTGAACTCCAGTTTAGCCTTTTTGTTTTCCCAGATTCTTCACAGGAGGTACACCCAAAAAACAGACGTGATGCAGAGGCTGGTTCCCAGGCAGCACTTCAGGTGAGAAGCTCTTGCTGCCTGTGCTGGGCCTCCCCAGAGATTTTGCTGCTACTGCCATGCAAAAAATCATCCCCTTGATCACCTCCAGGAAGGGTCTGGCATCTTCCTCAGCATCAAGTACCGCTTGCTGCAAGTTCACCATGCTTCCAAAATCGGCAGAAAGTTAAGAAACACTGTGACAAATAAAGTCACAAATTGCTTCTCTGCATTCCTTCTTTAAATACGATGAACTTGGCGACCAGCTCTAAGCAAGACACTTATTCATTCCTGATAAAGCAGGTTTCATTCATAATTTTGCCAAAGACTTCACTTCTTTCCCAAGGTCTGAAAATAGGTGTAATTCCCCTGCTCAACTCCACTGAATAAAGCAAAGCCAAACAATTACAATAAATACTTGTCTCTACAGTAACAGTATTTTATGATTAATCCACCCAGCTGTTGCCACAGCTCAGTAATGCCAAATGATCAGGACTCGGTATTATTGAAGTGCTGGTCTTCCAGGCAAGACCATGGAAAATGTGAGGCACTGCAGAAGGTAAACAGGTTAGGGACAGTGGGAGAAGAGGCAGCTTCCCGTGGTTGTCCTCTCTTCCTCCCTTGACAGAGCTCAAACATGACAAGCACCCATTTCCAGGCAAGACTCAAAGAGTTTCTTTGCTTCAAGCTAATAGTTCTTGCAAATTCAAGTCATTTTGGAGAGAATGGGTGTAACTCCACGAGTCAAAACAGCTACTCAGTATTGCAATAACCATATACTCGTTTTTAGGTCAGATCCATCCCCTGATCTGGTTCACCACATGAAAAAGCTGGTGTTAACTGAAAAACAAACCCAGAAGCCTCAACAACATGACTGCTCCAGGACAGACAGAGGGACAGCCACTGCACCGACCAGGAGGCACATCCCACCAGCAGCTGGCAGGACCTCAGCTCTGATCCTAACCGGCTCCCATGGAAATCCTTGGGCTGTAACCATGTGCCTGTTGAGGGACATGAAAGCTGTATCTTAAAATATTAGGGAAAAACAGCTGCTATTTTACACCAAGGCATATGATTGATACAAGAGGCGAGACCACACATCTCTTTTCTGTTTCCACCACAAAGAAACTGTATTTCATGGCAAAGTAACTTTTTGAATTTGCTTATAACATGTGCTTTGATATCAACACACTCTCCTGCTGCCAAGGGTAAGCCTAACAAATGGCTTGGCAATGGGCAAACCCGTTCTCCCAAACCCCTCACCTCAACCCTTGTTTCTGCCTGAAAGAGCTGCCAAAACATTTAACCTTACTTTAACTGCATGAAGCAGTACAGGTGGCTCCAAGACGTCCTTCAGGTCGTTGCCACACCAAGCGGGCAGGAGCAGGGCAGGTCACGACACTCAGCTCCTGGAAGAGAGGGAAGAAGGAGGAGTCACCAAGTGCAAGGGTCATCATGGCTGCTGGGGTTACAACACACAAACTAGCATCACAACACCTTCACCAAGGGGGATGGAAACCATCCTCTACCTTGCAAGCTGTACAGGAGGCACGTGTTGCCTCCCACAGCAGTCCCATGTGGTTCCACGAGCACACACGGGGCAACGACCACACTGTATAGGACTATCTATATGGGCATCTGGCACCACCTAAGAATAACTGTGCTGCTGAGCTGTATTTGCTGCTCTCTTGCTATTTGCTTTATCCCCAAAGCTGCTGTCCACCACTGCATCACAAACCACTAAGCTGGCCTTAAGTCCTTTGTATCCATCAACGCAGCCCCTCCCAGACTTTATCAAACTCTTTGTGAACTCCTTTATGGCAAGGTATTTTAAAAGGAACAACAGCACCAAAGGTAGATGATGGCAGATGATAGCCAGCAGATGAAGCCAGCAAATCTCTGCCAAACCCTTCTGGGTTGCCTGCACTTTTCCACAGGCTGATTTCCTTCTCTGAGGAAAAGCCTACTCAGTAGACTCATCCATAGGGATAAACCTGGCCTACAAAGTACACCTGGAAAGAGCAGTTATAGTGGATTAAATGTCAAAAGGAGAAAAAGCCCAGGTTGGGCTTTAGTTTATTGAATGCTGTGTGGGAGATTTTATTAGCCAAATCAAAGTCATCAGGGTACCTCAGGCCATCATTTGGTTACCACAGCAGGAAAGGTTGGGGCTACACACACATCACCAAACGCAAGCGCGACACACCAACTGCCTCCTCCTGTTCTACCAGATAGAGACTCTGCCCCTGTGCTCTCCCCGTTGGGAAAGCATCCATAATCTGGGAATCTCACAGCCTGAGCCAGCCTGCCGACCTCAAAGTGCAATTACAAGCACAGAAGTAACAATGGAAAAACGAGTTACCAGCTGGGAAATCAATTGTACTGTGTGAATTAGCCGGGAACAGACTGCACTGGAAGGTAACGCACTGCACAACAAATCTCACTTCTTCATCTGCACAAGAACAGCATCACCTCAACACCTCAATGTTGGTTTTACACAATGTTTTCTTAAGATTAATGGTTAAAAGTCCCTTTTATGCATTCTGCTGAGAAATGGGGAGAGTATTTTGTAAGGCACTACAGGGTACTGTGTTTTACTGCAAGTATATATATTTAGACATAGACCAAATTGGAAAAAAGAAAATTCATACTCTTGTTCCTTTTAAAGTATCAGCATTGTGCATGAATTCCTTCATTGTGATGTCACACATTTCTGAATTACATTCTTATGCCAAACTACTGGAGCTGAAAGAGGAATTACCTGAACTCTTAAACCCCAGTTAAGAGCACACAAACACTCTTTGGATTCATTAACCAGTAAAAACCACCCTTGCAGCCACAAACAAACAGACTGGAACTTCCCTCTGGCATTTCTGTAGTATTACTCTCAGGACCACATTTTAGAAGATGGTTACCATTTGATAAAGCAATTATTAACTCTGTTAAGTAAGCAATATTAACCCAGGGCTCCTACTTGCCATCCTCTGTTGATCTCCAAATAACAGCTCTCTCCAAGGCACATACAACAACAGTACAATGGTTTCATTTGTTTGTGAGACACTGATAACTTGGGGTTTAATACCGTATTTGTATATTTTGGCAGAGAAAGCAGGGTTTGCTGCTACTCTTTTGAACCAACAAGGAATATGGGTATGGCTAACACTGCTAAAGTAGATACTGAGCCTGCTGTGAATCACTGCATGTTTTTCCTCATATCCACCAAGGAATGAGGGTGTGTGTATGGAGTCACATGCAAAGCTCACTTGGATGTTCAGGACTTGGAAAGTTTTAGCAAGTGAAGAAAATCAACTGGTCTGCCAATGAAAAGCTGTAACATAGATCACAAAATTCTTCCTCACAGGTTTTTTTGTTTGTCTGGTTTTATTCTGTGGGAACTTTTAGATTGCTACAAGAAGAAGCAAATAACATTAAAAAAGTCTTAAATATATATTTTAGTTCCACATGTAAAGAGCCTGCACGATCAGTAAGGCTCTCCACATCAAAGAACCAATTCCCCAAAGAACTGATTTCTACTTCCCACAAAACTGTAATGGGACAACCCCTGCACGCCTAAGCACACCCATTTCAGAAGGATTTCCCCATGGGGATTTCTTCTCCTCCCCTTCCTGTACTGGGAAAGTCATTGCCAAGTGTAGATGAACACTGACATAGCTCCTGTTTTCTGAGTCTTAAAATTACAGGAAGATGATGACATACAGTAGCTTTATAAAAAGCAATTTGGTTTCTACAATGCTCTGCCAGCATTCCCAACAACCTGTAACTGGATAATTTCTGCCTAAAAGGGGTGACAGTAATGATAATACCCAGTGCTCACTAAAGTAAATGAGAATGTAAAGGAAGGTCTTATTGAATCTTGCCTTTATACAACGTATTTTGCTTGGGTTTAATAAAAATATGGGAAAACCCCATCTCATTGCTAGGACAGGATAATTTGATAGTGGACTGCTCATGGTCTTGCTCCCTCCATACTGAGACAGCTAAAGAAGAAATTTCCCAGGCCACTGATGAATTACTGAAGCATCTTTATGAAGACAGAGGAAAATAAAATTTAAGGACAGTGTTACAGTTATTTCCAATTTTAAGAAGACAAAGTAACTGGCCCTGAGGATTATATATGTAATTCCTTCTTTTCCCAAAAAAGAGCCCAATCTGCATCTGATGTGTCCTTTACAGGCAGAGGAGCCAAGCACCAAAAGATACGCTCCCTACATTTCCAAATTAAATGAATAGCAGTTAATAACATAGCCAAAAAAGGAGTTATCCTGTGCTGAAAATCTATTTGGGAGCAATCAGTCGGGGCTCTCAAACACACATGCTTGGTAGAACCCCAGCACATGGACCTCAGGGTTTCCAGTTGTTTTGATGGTTCCTCTCAAAGGAACCCACCCTTGCCAAACACTGCCCATTGCCCAGCACAGAGGAAACTACTCCTCAGATTTTCTCTTTTTTCCCTAAACACAAAGGCATTTTATTTTTCAGAGAAGTGATATATATTTTGTTGCTCTGCCAGCTGACCCCTTTGACACATCAAACGGGTTATCTCACCATCTGGTTGTAATTGCCATCACGAAGCTTTCAACAAATTCAAGGAAGAGCACCAAAAGGAGGGCACTAACGGTCCAAGAGATGAACTGCTGATTACTGGGGATTATTTGATACAGTTGGAACCTTTTCATAGACAAGATGCCCAAACACAGCCAATCCCACAGCTACAGCACCCAAACAAGCCTCTGGAGTACTTTCGAGTTCTGGCTGTTGCCCACTATAAAACCTCCTCACAATTTCATATTAAAAGCTGTCAAGGAAAACACTGCTTGTCCTCCTCATCTCCCAAACTGCTGGGTGTACAATTGCATGCTGCTGTAACCTTTTGTGTTGAATACACAGCCTATATTTGCGTATCACAATATTCTTGTTATAGGACATCCTTTTCCTGCTTCTATTGATGCCCAGGAGAGACTGCCTCACAAGGCATTTTAAGAAGTTTGTCCCGTGGTCTGAACTATGTTTCCTAATTCCTTAGGGAAGGGAGTCTGGACACACTCTGCCTGGACATGGCAACATGCTCCTCAGACAACCAGAGGATCAGGTCCTGCCAGCATGGGTTTAGGAAAGACAGGTCTTGCTTGACTAGCCCAAGGAACTGGTGGAGTCACCATCTCTGGAGAGATTTAAAAGACGTGTAGATGTGGTACTTAGGGACATGGTTTAGTGGTGGTCTTAACAGAGCTGGGTTGATGGCTGGACTTGATGATCTTAGAGGTCTTTTCCAAGCTAACTATGATTCTACATAAACAGAAGATTAAAGTATTATTTGCCTAAAATCTGCTTTACTTTGTACAAGTGTAAGTGCAACATGGATCCACTAGCCACTGCATCACACAGTTATCACATTTGTACCAGCAGATTGCAGCTCCTCACATTTTGACACACACACAAGGTTCCTCTGTAAGTAAATGATGGGTTTTGTTTAAAGAGCAGCATCTGACTTGGCACACTGGATGACGAAAAGCCAAGAATTTTAAAACAATAGAAAGTAAAACATATCCATATTTCACATGTCTGTACACAATGCAGAGCAAGCAATAATATTAAGATGTTAACTGGAGTCCCATTAATCCTGATTACCAAGAGACGAGAGACAAAAATTCTTCCATATACACTAAGTTAACTTTTGAAACCTAAACTCTTTTGACAGCGTCGCCTTGAACTTGTAAACAGAAATATTCCCAATTGGATGAAAAGGGAAACAAGGATGCACCCATCCAAGAGCACTTCCCTGCTCATTCTAGCCCTGGACAGAAACAGATTTTTCTCTCTAGAACCTGGAGATCTGCACAAAACTGAAAGAGTTTGGGTTTTGCTTTTTATTTCCAGCAGCAATTGCAAAGCAGCGAAACAAAGAGGTCAGGGATGCTTTATGGCTCTCTGTCTTCCCTCTTAACAGCAACCTGTGCTCCATAAACTCTTCCTGTGTAATAACACGCAGCAACCTGTTACCCCAGGAGAAGACTAGGTGCCATGGGGACTCTGCAAGCAATGAAAAACCCCTGACCTCTGAGAGCATGGTCCTGCACAAGTGCTCTTCAAAGGTATACGAGGTTTCAGCCTTCAAAATTGAAGGGAAAAAAATTGAAATAATAACAATATTTTTATTAGCCATTACAGTTTTTCACTAATAATAAAAGCAGGACTTGGTCCAGAAATTTGATCTTCCTTAAACTGAGGCCTGAAACCAAGTTCATCCTAAATAGCAGCTGCTTCTTTTCAGACAGTCTTGTAAAACCACATCAGGATTGAGATAAGGGCTTCAAACTGTTTCCACAAGACCATCATGGCTAACTATGGGAGATATCAAAACTGAAGTCATGGAGGGTTTAAAATCTGC